TTAGGGTTTAGGGTTTAGGTTAAGTCTTAGATTTTTTGGGTTTGGGGGTCTTAGGGATTTTGGCTTCAGAAGTCCGAGGATGTTGGTGTCAGGGTCAGGGTTCTTGCTTTCTAAGCCCTAAGCCCTGAACCCTAAACCCTGGACGCTAAACCCTAAGAGCCCTAAAGTGCTAAACCCTGAACCCTAAATTCCAAACCGGGAAACCTTGAACCATAAACCCGAAACCCGAAACCCGAAACCCTGAACCTTAAGCCCAAAACCTATGAACATCGGGCACCTGAGGCTTAAGCGTGCGAGCCGACGCCTGATGCCCGCCGCGCTATGCCGGGTTGGGTGTTCAGATGCTAAGCCCTACCTGTAGTCTTAGTGGTTCAGAGCCCTACTTTTCAACTTTTGGGGCTGAGAGTTTAGGGTTCAGGGTTTAGGCGTGAAACCTAAACCCGGGACTCTCAAAACAATGAAAAACCGAACGCTTCAAGCTCGCACCACAACAGCCACTCACTCTCGGCTAAGGCTCCATGTGCCCAACTAGTATATACTAAGGTCTTAACGGTACTTGTATAGGAACCCCTTTAAGGCTTAAGTATATACTATATGGGCACATGGAGCCTAATGGCTCTAGACCCCAAGACCTCACCTTCCCTCTGCCCGTAGTTAGAACAGGCTTTTGGGCATATTGTCCGAAAACATACCCACAATATACGTTAACATACTAGAATACATTATGAGCTTAACGAGAATTGTTACTCTACAACATAAACCCTAAACCCCAAACCCTAAACCGATACTAGAACCACGGTTGCCAGCCCTCATGATGATATCATTTCCATCTATTCAGGCCCCTATCCCTTTCATCAGATGAATGTAGGGGCCTTGATACTTGGAATAGGGTTTTAAGGGGGCCCCTCACTATCATTATAGTATAACATACCCCGAAGCCCTATTCTAGTTATTAAGGCCTTAATAATTAGAATAGGGTTTTGGGGCTCCTTACTATNNAAGCCCTATTCTAATTATTAAACCCCTCTGTTATCTGACTACAGTCCCTGACTCCTTGCCCTCCTTCTCTGCTTCCGCCACCTGAAGCTCGTATGCCTTCAACCGTGCCAGCGCTCGGGTAGAACGTGGGGTTAATTCACGGCGCATGTGTAGGGCTTCAAGGGTTTGGAGATTGGGTTTAGGGTTTAGGGTTTAGGGTTCAGGTTTAGGTTTTCGGGTCTCGGGTTTAGGGAGCGGGATTTATGGAGGCTGCTCTGGCCTAGGCTGTTAGACTGCAAACAAACCTGCCTTTCTCAGGGAAATAGATTTTACAGAAATCAAAATGAGGAAGCCTAAACAAGTAGGTTGTTGTGGGTCGAGAAAATTGTGAAACCCTACGCTGTCAATCGACATCATACAGCAACTCGGAAATTGCTCGTTGAAATAGCCCAAAAGCCTTATATAATAGGGTCTTTGGGCCCAAAAGCCTTAAACTATGAGTCCTTAGAAGATAAGGGTAATGGTAAGTCCTCCGGCCCCTACTTTATGGCTTGAGGATTCGGCCGGTTTAGGTATGGAGGCAAGTGCAGCTGTTCCCATTAAGCCAGCAACTTAGAGGCTGA